ACTTTAGGACACACATTTGCGGTAAGGGATTATTGACTGTGGATATATTGACTGTGTGTGTACATTTTGAGTTTGAGTGTATTGGCCAAGATAAACAATCATGAAACCGTGGGTTAAACCCCTAAACCCTTCCGAAATAAAGTAGTTACGGAAACATGTTTAACAAACAGTCCCTAAAATGTAGTTAGGAAATAAGTTTAATAAACAACTTATATTCGACCACAATTTATAAGTTTAATAAACAACTTGTAAAATATGGTCCAATTTATGGGAAGGACGATGGCAAAGATATTCGTGTGGCGCGAGAACATAGGGTTTAAATAACTTTTATTTACAACAATATATACTCTCGGTGTAGATCAGACGCTAATGTGCTAATCGCTAACAAACCCCTGTGCTCTCTCTTGGTCAAAATCTAAAGTGGAGGGGGAACTTGAGATCTTTCATTACCGTGCGCTTAAACTCCGAGTGTTGGTACCAATCGACGTTACTGTCGAGAATCACTGTTTCGTGCCCATCCACTTCAAATACCTGTCTAACCACAAACTTAATGTCGGGGCACACTCGGCGCCACACGGCTTGGGTGCTCGTATCAACCGGTTCGTGGGTCTCGACAAGTCGGAGGTTGGTGGCGTTTTGAGGAACGCGATCCGGTAGTTCCGGTACTTGGAGGAATAAGACGGACGATGGCAGCTGTTCCAAATCGTGCCCATTCTGACACACTGAGAGGAACCTCAACTGAGTGAATTTGGACAACAAGTGCATATTACTTACTTTGAATATAAACGTAAGGGACTCAATGCTGTCTACACCCGATATATAACGGGTGAGGTCCTCAGTAAATGCGTAGCTGTTAACGTGTCGCACCGAGTTGTTCTGAAGAACCTTGTCCAAGTAGACGGGGTTACAAGTCTTAGATCTCGAGAGACGGGTGGGTTCAGAAACTTGAATGTACTGGGGGAAGGCGAGCGTCGTATCTTCCAAGTTTCCATGATGTTCTTCCATCATCACCGGGGCCGGGTGTGAGCTCAAGTACTTGGCTAGAAGTCCCCGGTCCTTGATTACATGGCGTAGCTCGTACACAATGTGTGTGAGAGCGAATGGACGCGAGAACCGGACGTCCGACGAACCACCGGTACGAACAAACTCATCAAGTGCACCTTCGTCGCCATGCAAGTGTTTAGACGACCGCGGTATGGCCATTGCCAATTGATGGCGATCGGCAGCGTTTAGAATACCATAGACATTGTCCTGTAGGATTTCAGAGGGTAGCGAATTCATGGTTGGAGTGGCGGGTCTTCAGGTTGTTATTACTGTAGAGATGTTAAGAGTGTGAAGTTGAGATGGATCGAGACTACGGTTTTATACTAGCCGCGTCGGCAAAATGAGGCACCGATTATGGGTGGTTGACCGGTGAGGGGCGATCGGTGAACCATCCCCGACTACAACCCACAATGACTCATGCATACCACACACGTGGTTTGGGGTTATAGGGTTTTTTGTTGTTAAAGAGTTTAGGGTTTAGGGTCGGGGTCAGGGTGTCTAGGGTTTATTGAGAAGAAGAGAATCGAGTCCTTTGTTTATTTTTAGAGATTGAGAGGAAGAAGAACGACGTTCTTAGGGATTTAATTGTAGGGTTTAGGGTATCAATGTTCGTTTTAGTACATGAGTATGTGCAAGCTAGTGCACGCAGCTAGGGCGTCAACGTTTGTCACCTTGGTCGAGTACAAGTTGAGTGTGCGCAAGCTGGTGCTGGCGGCCAGGGCGTCGACGTTTGTTACCATGGTCGAGTGCAAGTTGAGTTTGCGCAAGCTAGTGCACGCGGCTAAGGTATCAACGTTCGTTACCTTGGTCGAGAACAGGTCAAGTGTGTGCAAGCTAGTGCTCGCAGCCAGGGTGCCAACGTTCGTTACCTTGGTATAGTTTAACCTGAGTGTGTGCAAGCTAGTGCACGCGGCTAGGGCGTCGACGTTTGTCACCTTGGTCGAGTACAGGTTGAGTGTGTGCAAGCTAGGGCACGCGGCTAGGGCGTCAACATTTGTATCCCCGGTAATACTGAGGTCAAGTATGTGCAGGGTGGTACACGTGGCCA